CAACGCTACTGGGCAATAAAAGGGAGGCTGACGTGCGCGAAGGCCCTGCTCGTGCTTGCGCTGCCGCGCGCATGCGCCCAGGCACTGCACTCCTCTCGTGCCCCCAGCAAATACTGGTGCCACTTGGCCCCCAGCTGCTGAGTGAGCTCCTATTAACGTGTATGTACATGTACATTTAACTGAAAATAGTGAATGCCTGACTGGGAATAAAGTGGGCTATAACTTGCTTGGAAGCATTGGAAATCTGTGCTTTATCAGTGGCAAGGAAGGCCCAGCAGGACAAAGGTCAGGTATATTAAGCTTATTTACTTACTAAAAAGAGCTACACCCATAAATAAAGTTTAGCAATTACACCCCAGGCCTCATGGGTCCTGGAAGCTTAGCTCAGATGCCAACCATGCTCAAAAAGGCACAACTGAAGCACAGGAATGGGGCAGCTGGGGGCATGCAGGGCTCTGCTGGCCGGTATTACCACCCATTTTGGCTTTTAAACCCTTCTGTGTTTGCATGAGAGACACCTAGTCCTGAGGCTGCACGAGTCCTCAGCACTTGCGAAAATCCAGCTCATAGTCAAATATGAGGAAACAGACTCACAGCCAGGCAGTGTCAGGGATGAGGAAAGAATTCAGAAATGCCAATTTTTTGGGTACAAATCACTTTAGCTTTTGACAGAAAAGAGAAACATCCAAAACTCACTGATGAATCAGTATTTATCTTCAGATGGCAATGATTCATGTCCTGAAAAGCATTCCTGACAAATAACGTAGATCAATTACCTGTGGATACGAGTTTATATCCACTTGTGTTTCAGAGCAGTATTTTTTTTCTCCTCTCTAAACAGTTACATGACAGAGAAATAGCTGCATAATTACTTACATACGGCCTCACTTCCATATAACTTCTTAATCTAGCTGTAAATAAATATAGAATATGAAATAGAAAAGCTTGTAGCTTTTCTTTAAAAACTGAAAGGAGGGATTCTGCTAAAGGAAGCCTGGAAGCCATTCGCTTAAAGAGGGTTTCCATATATACTTGCCCACTTTCTTTTGCTGCAACTTAAACAATAATTAAACGTTAGCCATGAGTATGCAATTCCAGGAATATCTCCAGGTCTCAACTGTGATAAGTAGTGGGGTTTAGGTTTGGAACAAGAATCACCTTCATTAGGGCATGGCTGTTTTAGGCTTGGCTAGGAGTGCAGGGAAAGGAGGATGGTAGAGCATGTTTCTATAGGAAGCTGTACCCCATGAACTTCTTTCCAAATTCCTCACAGGTTATTTTACCTATTCAAGTCTCCTTGACCTATTCACATCTAATCAGCACTGCTACATAATTAATTTAATTGCCCACTTGCCCTGCGGTACTGCAGTAGTGAGAAGTTAACAACATGGCTTTATTTCAGCGTTTAAAAGTCAGAGTTTGCCTGGAAACCTGAATGATTGCCAAAATCCCTTCCACTGACAATGGGCATCATTAAAAAAAAAAAAAAAAATTTGCTAATATAGTGCCTTTGGTGTTTTGATCCCATTATTTTTGCCCCTCAACATGCATGTCTTCCACCAGGGGGTTTAACCAACAGCATTAACTGTTCCTTGTTGAGACTTATCCATGACCTAGCTAACAGTAGGTAACCATCTGTGAGGATTCCCAACCTCTCAGTCTACCCTTACTCTTCCCCCAATTCCCTTACTGACTCTTTAGCTGAGTGAGAAGATACAATATTTTCCCCCTTGGCTTTTTCAGGAGAGTTTCATTTACCTTTCCAAGTACAAAAGCTACTAATGCTCTTGTATGACCATGACCAGCTCAGATGCACATGAGCTGCAAGGTTATCAGCTAGACAGTCGTCTTCCTGTGGAATGACAAATAGTCATATACAGGCCCAGCTACTGAAACCAAGATAACTCACTTCAGATCCATTGGATAAGCATTTAAATGCTTACCAGCAGCATGGCTTTTATTGCTTTTCATCCTCAAAAGCAATCAAAAACAACATGACAAGATAATTTAGTCATTTACTACTCAGCTCATGAATATTTTATTACAATAATAGTAAAATTTCATTAAAAAAATCAGAATTATCCCAAATTAGTAAATATAAACATTTTCAAAAGTAACATCTCTTATAGCAAATGTTAGTGTACACAAAAAGAATCAATAATTTATTTCTTAGTATTATGGGTAGCATGAAAAATAACCTTTAAATTTGATTTTCTGAAACTCACAAGAAAAATCACGCTACTTTCCCTGGAGAGGTTATTTTATATAAAAATAGCTATGCATGTCCAGGAGGAAGTACAAAATTATAGCTTGGTATATATTAACTGATTGTTAGGAGTATGCATGGGAAAAAAAATTATCCCTGTCAAAAAAAAAAAACAAAAAAACCCTGTAGTATTACTGTGTGCAAAAAACCCAACGCATATCCGCAAAAGAATTGGACTAGCTACTCTTTCCTACCAAAAATCCCTTCGGTCACACAAAATTGATAACTACATAAGCAAATAGTACAGCCAACAGCTGTGCAAAATGATTTCCTTTTTTCTTTTTAGGCTAAATTAATATTGTCTTCTTTAGTTATTCTATGATTTATGAGTAATTCACACTGCAAAAAAACAATATGAGTTTTGTAAACAAAGTTGTAGCTATCCTAAACTGCATTTAGTCATACTATCACCTTCCTTTAATTCCAAAGTGTTCGTATCCTGGATTTGACCAATAGAACAGAAGTATTTTTCACATTACCTATGAAGACATGACACTATATTTTTCCTTGTACTCCATTTTCTGGAAAGTTTTTAACACTTGCATTTGATAGCCAAGCATTGCCATCTGTCTCACCACCTGGAAAGCTGAAAAATAATCTACAGCTGAATGCACCGCACTGTCAATATATTTACAAGGCAACATTTTTGAAATGTGAAAAATTCTGCTTTTGTTGCGATACAACTGCTGCCACTTGCTGCACTGTTATGTTGGCAAGATCACCTACATGCCTTCTGTAAAGGACAAGAGCTACATGCACTCTTTTTGTCATGTTTTCAGAAATAAGAGTTTGTGGATTTTTTTGGTTTGCATGTATGTGTGTGTAAGAAAAGTTGAAATTTATAAATTATTTTGATTCAGTACTCTGAGTGTTACTGTACAGTCTTCAGTAGTTTCTAAAACATGATTAGAATGGAGCAAAGGTAAGCAACAAGAGAAAGGTTTAATGCACATCTTCCAAAATTAAATGCATGAGCTTAGCATCAATATGAAACTTCACACAACAAACAAAAATATCTGTAGCAACCATTTTGCTCTTGCAAGGCAATTAGGAGTTTTCACTCAGAACAATTCTGTACTCACCTGAAGGACATTTCTACTGCTTACACTTTTACTACTCCTTGCAAGTTAAGGAATGTACAGCCGTCGTTACAAGAAGGTTCCAGTTTGCATATAAATTTGACTTGTTCACATTCACTCTTGATCAAGCCAGCTTTATTTTCTTTTTCATGCTTGAATCCTCTGACAAAGTTCCTGAACTCACATTTAAAAACCCTGAGATGTGGAAATAACTAATTTTCTGATGAACTATTTATGACCCATGCATCTGGTTGCCAAAGTAACTTTCTTGCTCATAAAGTGGAAATAAAGGAGATAATGATGAGTAAAATGTGGCTTGTGCAAGGTTTTAGGAGGGAGAGATCAGTGACCACAACTGAAGAATAAACAATTGTACAGATATAAATCTTCAAGTAGATACAAATCTTCAAGTAGAATAAGAGATAAAACATCTATTAGAGGTGAATATTCATTTCAGAAAAGAAAGAAAGACCAAAGAAAAACAATTACTGTAATGTTTCAGTGCTTCTTAACTACTGTTTGCAGCCTTCCTTTATCTAGTATTTTTAGAAGTAGAGCACTGTTTGGAAGTGAATTCTGCTTTCATACCAAAACATAGAGAAAGAGGACTCTTTTGCTATCAAGAAACACTGGTCTGCTTCTAGAAAGAGAGAGAAAAAAAATAATGCTTAATGAGGTTCTGATGTATGGATTGAACTATTAAAGGGAAAACACTGAAATAAATGAATTCTCTTCCTTTACCTCAGAGAAGAAGTAAAGAAATAAAGACAAGAAATTATTAACTGCACATATTGGTTTGCAGACTTTGAATAAAGTATTCCTTCATCTTAAGCAATATTTTAAAAGTGAACAGCCAGGCCTATACACAGGGGTTTTTTTTTTTTTTATTAGTAATTTGGTCATAGTTTTGAAGTAAAAAGGTACATTTGTATTCAGGGATTTGGAGAGGGAAAGATTCCTAAAAGAAAAAAAGTATAACTTTGTTATTGAAAAAAAAGAGTTTGAGGGAGACTAGTTATTGAGAACCGCATTTCATAGCCTTTTTGTGCAACACACCTGCAAGGTTCAATGGCACTCAAAAGTAAACAAACAAACAAAAAAAAAAGCCTTACAGAAAATTTGATATGAAAAGCTAAAAGAATTAGACAGCATTTTCTCCATATTATATCTCCAGTGAATAGCCTTCAGATAGAATAGCAACAAGCTTGCTTGGCAAATAAATTTCATATATATATATATATGTATATGGAAAACTTGAAATATCAAGGCCATCACTAAGATAATAGCAGACTATTCGTTACTTTAGCAAGGACATTATCTTTTACCATGATGAAAAACTTGCACTTTGTAAATATATTTAAGAATACAACTTTTAATTTTAAAATCCTCCAAGAGTTGTTATACACAGAAATTAGACAAACCTATTTATTGCCTGATGCTGAAACCGCATCAGATTTGTGTCCGTTGTGTTCGTTACCAAACCTTTACACTCATTTCTACCCACAGCCGGCTACGTTGCGCAGCACGGAGAGGGGTATCCCACATCCAATTCACTTCACAGGTGGCCTCCCAGAGGCCTGTGGAAAGCTAAGTGTTCTGAGGGACTCCAGCGGGCTGAATCTGCCCTTCATAGTACTTCACTGAGGAAAAGCTGCTCAAGAGCTTGCTTGACTGAATAAAACAGTGTCCTCCTCATGTACCAAAGTTGGACTTTCCATGTTGTCCAGCAAGGTATGACAGGAGTCGCATTCATGGCCTGGCAATGAAGGTTCTTTTACAACCGTGGACATCAACTGGTTCCAGGTGATGTTAACATTTTTGAAAGCGTGCAAGAAAAAAATGCCTATGATGATAGTACAGAACCCACTCAAGGTGCCAGTGATGTCCCCTGGGTCCATGTTGTTCCACTCCTTGAACAGGATGATGGAGAACGTTACCACTGTGGTGGTGAAGCACACATAATAAATGGGTGTGACTAGGGATGTGTTAAACGTGTCCAGCGCTTTGTTGAGGTAGTTGATCTGAGTGGTGATCGAGAGCACTAAGACTCCCACCAAAACATAAACCAATGGATGTCGATAAACTGGTTTCCCCTCCAGCATTTGTTTAATGGCAATGCCGAGGCCTTTGACAGACGAGACAGAGAAGGCACCAATGACTGAACAAATTAAAATGTAGATCAATATATTTGTCTGACCTCTCTTTGGAGCCACAATAAAAATCAGCACGAGAGCGATGGCTGTTGTGACAACAGCAAATGCAACAAACACTGTATGAAAGAGGAAATAGAAGAGTAATAAACATGAGAATGCCAAACTATGTTCACAAGTTCATTGCAATTCTACCCATTTAACACTTCCAGTGAATTAATTCAAACTGTTCAAAAGATTTACTGTACCTATATATTTTATTGGACTGCTAGTCCAATATCACTCGCTATAAAGAAAGAGAAAATATTTTGCGAGATGCATGAAATGGCCACAGTCTCTCGATCTCCAGATAAAAGTTGTTTCTTTTCACTGAAGAGTGGCACTCATCCACTTGAAAGAGCAAGTACAGAGCCTTTGAGAAAAGCATGTGAACACACACAGTAATGATACATTAAAAAAAATATGGACTCAACAATCACAAAAGGTCCCAAGAGATTAACCTGGCTGAATGATGGGCCTCGTTTTGTCCTAAACTGCACTTCCCCATGCAAAGATCTCCCCTTTCTCAAACATGCTTTTGATACGCATCCTATGACCTGGAGAGATTAGCTGGATTTCATACGAACACCCTCATACTCAGGGAACACAGAACAAGGCTGTAAGCAGAACTCAAAGCTAGACAACAACTCAAATGGAGTTAAGTCAAGGCTAACGGTGAAGGTAAGTGAAAACTGTTATCTGTTTAAAGTGGAGATAACTTGGGTTATGGAGCTTTTCATCATCGCACAAGATTGAAAGGGCAGGAAGTAGTAGCACATCCTTTTTTAGCCCAATAATCTACAAGAAGTCGTATAAGAGGTACCACTCTTAAGCCTGTATCTTTGGGAAACATGCTAAAGCGCCCCCGCGGAAGCTCTCCGTTTATACTGATTTTAGGGGATTCTGGGCTTTTGGCAGAATCATCCCAAGAAAGTTCTGCAACTGGGATCTTCCTGTCTAGGATCCTGCTAAGCTCTCGGAGCTGTTTCCGAGGGACCCGTATGCTCCCAGCTGGAACTTCAATAGTGTTTACACTTCTCATGAGCCAGTATTTGCAAGCATAATCTGCAAGCTCAAAGTCTGTGAAAAGAGTTAACTAATTTCTAGCCTTCACACACATCAGTAAATTATTACAGGTGAGGAAGGAAAACTGAAGTAATTCCCTCTCTTATTGAGGTCAGAAGCTCAAAAGATTACTGTACTTCCTACTTTCTGATCCTATCCTTAGGCATCCAGTATTCACAAGCCCCTGCTCTTCTCCATTCCGAGTATGGCAAAACATATGAGGACAAAGAGTTTGTCTAGAGTCATCCAGGAATGAACCTTCCCTTAAAGGACCTTATATAATGAATAAATAATATTCTAGGGTAACACATTTCTTTAAAATAAATATCTAGTTAAGTGTATTTTAAAACATTGCAGGAGATTGCTGTTGCCATACATGTATTAAGCAGCATGCTAATCTTTAAATTCTATTATGCAATACTTAGCCAGGTTGAATGCCATACACTGGAAAATATTAGACTGTAGCTATATATATTTTAAAGTTTCATTCCTGTATTTGCTGATGTTTATTAAAGAAACAGGTAACTTTCCATGCAATTCTTTGAGAAACTGCACCGCACATTAAGAACATTATGACATTATGTTTTGTGGGGACATTGTAAAGATTAACAATGTAATCTACCTAAGGTACTGTAAAGGCATAGGTTATAAACAACTTAATTCATTAAGGCAGTATCTTTAATTCTGTGTATTCCAAAAACATTTGTCCGTTGAAGGAGGTGGACTTTGGCAGTTTCTACTGTCACCATCATGCAACCAACAGTACATGCAGACTGTTGCTTCCTTGACAAATCAGCTTATAGGAGCTGTTAGGCACCACATTACGATTTCCTTTACCCAGCACTACCCATCTGCCATTACTCTTGCTAATGCAGCGTCACTGGTAAGTATAGAGAGTGTGAGGATACACATGTACACATGTATAAAAGTAAATAAATAAATAAAACCAGATTCCTATTTGTTTAGGGATTCTTAGCATCTATATATAAAACCTTGATTGCAGTCATACCCAGAACATAAATATAGGTAAACAAGGCAGTTACAGAAATATTAAGCTCCATTTCTTACCAATCACCACCATAATTCAGTGGCAATCACAAAATTCAGTTCAATTCATTCACTCATTGATAGATCCAGTGAAACAAGAGCGCTCACAAGTCTCTCAGCACTTTGCATGAAATATTGCAGGTTAAATCTACAGACCTGGATCTTGCAGCTTTACTTCCATCTCATCCAGCGAGGTGACCTCCTGCTCCTCGGGGGCATGGATAACCATGACTGTAGACCCCAGCATGCTCAGCACACAGCCCAGCTTCCCGTGGATATTCAGTGTCTCATTTAAGAAGTAAGAGGACAGTACAGCGCTGTTGGCCAAAACACAGACAGAAGGTTCAGCTCCACCAGCCGTGCAAGATGTTAGGAATGTGCCTGCATAGCATGGCAACAAACCAAAGCCTCTTGTGAATCTGGATACATGCGAAACCAGCCTGAAATAATCAACTATCTTACTTCCCTGCAGTTTTAAGATCTGTGAAGAGGTTGGTTAGTGACTCTAATCTTTCCCTCCAGGTGGAAAAGGTCAGAATTGCTAGAGAAATTTCTCATCATCCATGGATCCTCATTAAGAGGTGTGTATTACTCACACAGCAGCCATAGGCAACTCTAAGTTAACCACAAGAGCTGCTAATTTTAACAGAAAAAAAAAATGGCTTAACCATTTCACTTGGCATTAGAAAGGAGGCAAGGCTGTTTAGGAAGCAATTCCTTAACCCCTTCCTCAAGTTCTTGCACCTGAGGACAACATGGCCCAAAGGAGGTGGCCTCACAGTATGGCTCATTAGCCAGCGACTGCATAGCTTCAGGCCCAGGAGCAGGCTTCACCACAGGTAGAAACTCACAGAAAAACAAGTTCACAAATATATTTTTTTCAACCCACCAATGAAATTACAGAGCAGTTTTGCAGGAGGGAGGAGATCTCGCTGATACTGAGTTCTCATAAATTCTCATTTTCACAAAAATTGGAAGATCTCTACCCACATCAAAGGAGAGGCAGTTAAAACTTGGCCTGTTTAGAGAAGCAGCAGCCAGTGAGCATGCAGCTACCTACACACCAATCACAGTATATCTGTGGGTGACAGAGTTACACTAGCTTCATGTTCAAAAAAATCTGTCTTCATAGCAGTTTTTTTACTGCAAGTACTTTAAAAAAATACTGCCTAATTTAGCATATTACATGAAGCATGGCATTTAAAACTATGTCCTTCAAAACAGTATCTTTACATTTAAATCATAATATTTCAATATTGATAAGAAATTATTTTTCAGAAAGTTAGCTGTTACTGTAATCTTTGCCTTCTCTGCTTCTGCATAATTCTTATTTATGAATTTTTTCAAGTATTTAGAAATTATTTATTTCTTCATATGTTGGAGTTACTGTTTGAAGAGTGTTCATAAAACAAAAAAAATCCCCCACGAATTATAACTGGATATTAAAATTTGCCTTATTTTCTGAAGAACTTGAAAAAGAAAGAACAAAATGAAACCCAAAATGTGTATCAAATCTACTTTAATATGAAGTTATCTTCCCATTAAAAAAAAGAATGTTTGGAAAATACTTTTATGGGGCAATATATATGTTCTTTAGCTGTAACAAGACTTAAAAGAACAAGACAGGACTTTTAAGGAAAGCTTCTGTCTACTACATGTTCTCAAATGGGATAAATTACAACCTTCCATCACACGTAGCAGCAGTGCATCCGGTATGTGCTGGTAATAATTAGCTTATATTAGATGTGGAAGGTTGTTGGGAAAGAGCATGTGAGTCTTTAGAACAACACTTTCCATTCCCTCTACCCAGGATACTCACAGGGAACTTTCCACCAAAGGCTAAAAATCATCCTTTGGACTTGCTCTTCAATTTTAATAAAACTGTTCAGCTTTCAGTCAAAGACATATATTTTTTTTTTACCCTCAAACAGAAAATGATTCATTTTAGACGCTTGCTTCCAACTTGTACTAACCTTATAAGCACACTCAGGGCACCCAAGGGAGTAACTAAAGTTGCAGGGGCAAAGGCATAGGCAGCAAAGTTGGCAGCTTCTCCCAGTCCCACTGCAAAAGAAAAAACATTTAGACTGACCTGGGTTGAGGGGGGCAGCAGAGGCAAAAAGAATCGTATGATGAGTATTTTGTATGATAAAAAAAAAATGACAATAATAGGAAAACAGATACAGTAGAAAATATCATACTGTTTTCTATATCATACTTTCCTGTTCATTAAACGTGCACACTTTGCTTTCAAAAGCATTGGCATTATCCCTTCTGCATATAATAAAACTAAAGACAGAAGCAAGTTAATCCTTTTCCCTTAGTGTTATATATTGCAGTGAAACTTCAATGATAATGACAATGTCACAGAACAACTGTGCAACTGCAACACCTTTGCAGAAGGAATGGCACCCAGGAGCACCACAGGGCTTCAGCTCCACTGCTTTTGGCTGGATATTAAAGAAAAGTACTATTCTGCAGAGAGCTCTAAAGAGCATACAAAATGCTTGAGACCTGGGATATCAGAATGACTTTTGATATACTGGTAATTGCAATGAAATTCCTTTTAGGTGAGAAGAAAAATGGAAAAAAAAAAAGGTGTAATGAATCTATTTAAAACAATGCTCTAGGTAGCATTGTAGTAGTTTGAAAGAAAAGAGGTGACTTACTTGACAGTAACCCAGCCCACCAAAGCCATTCCTTCAAATAAGAATATCCACCCTGTCCTGAAAGGGGAAAATAAAATCTCGGTTTAGAAGAAAAATTCATTTTATTATAATAAGCAATATTCAGCTTTACATTTCCAGCAAATTATACAAAGTAACATAACATATTATGCAGATATGACATGAAGAATATTTTCCTTGGTTTTAACTGATACTTTTAAGCACTCTCCTTATGGAAACTGATATTTGATTAAATACACACGGAGGAAAGGTACAAAGCAAAAGAGAAAAGTTGGTGAAGACTGCTGATGAGGTCAGAAAATATGCTGCCCCGTATCCCTAAGAATCTGGGTAACACAGTAATTGTAGCCACATGCAGAGACATAATCCCATGTTTCTGTCTCCTGCTGGCTTACCTGCTCTGGTGGCTCCTTTGGTGGCCAGTTTCAAGAGGCCCTTCTTCTTCAGGATGAAGCTGGCGCCAATGAAGACGCTGGAGCCTATTGCCAAAGCCAGGCCTATGTAGAGCTGGCACCTGCTGCTGGCCGCCGCGGAAACGCTCTGCCTTGTGTCGTTGAAGGAGGCATCCACGGAGGCGAGGAGGGAGGAGCGCGGCGCAGACACGTTGATGATCCGGCACCACGCTTGGTAGGCGTCGCGGCAAGAGAAGGGCAGCACGGCGCCTGCCAGGAGGGAAGGGGACACGTGACATGAACCGGGCACGGCTCCTTGAAGTGTGACACCAGCTCCAGGTAAAACACACAGTCCCGGGGTGAAGAACCAGCTGCGTCACTCACAGACAGACTCCTTATTTCATGCATCTTTCGCACTGCATCCGCTCAGACAAGCTATTAGGGCAACACTAAGGAATGCATCATAGAATATTATTTTCAATACAAAATTCCACACAAAATCTCAAAAGATAACCCAAAAGCTCAAAAAGAAGTTATTCTTTGGCATTGGGCAATGACCATATCGCCAAAACACAAACATACACCCATTCGTGTACTGAATAAACCTCCTATTGCTCCAGGCTTCTGTTTTACATTTGTAACAGAGATCTAGGACTGACAGATAAAGAATAAAATACTCTATACAGCCAGCAAACTCTTGTTGCATATGGGCATTCACATGTTTTATGAAAACTGTTTAGGGCCATCATGTAAGACAGATCTTCTGTAACCCATTCTTTAAGGTGGAGGCCTCATTACAAGTCACAAAAACTTTCATTTACCCCAAAGAACCTGTAAACGGAGGAGAACCCCATTGACAAGAGACCATCCTCCTAGCCACCCCTGCAATGTGCTGCCGTGCACAGTGATGCTGAGCTAACATCGAAGCTACAGCTTTCTAGTCAATCAAACCTTATTAGCATCAGTACTACGGCAGCATGCAGGGATGACACCATTGGAATTAGCCAGGACAGTTTTTAAAGGAAGAAGAGGTATGGCATTTCTGAAACAAAGTATATAGTTATTTTGCATGAGAAAAAAAAGGATGGGAGAACACCAATGCTGCCACATAACTGCTTCCAGTAGTTAACGCAGGAAGTTTCACAGTTTCTCAAGCTAGGCTGGCAGCAATAGCACAGATCACAAAAACCACCTGAAAGAGCTCTCAAGAACAGCCTGTTTGGAAAGAAAGGATTTATTGTTCAGATGCAATAAAATATGAAAGAGCTGATGCCGAAGTACAAAATCCCTGTCCCAAGTGATTCATGCAAAAGACTTGATGCAAGACAATTTTGTTTTCCATGTCCTCTGTAATTAAAATGACAGCTGAAAGATTCATCTTTCTGTGTTGCATCATCTGTAACACATGTGCTGCCTTTTTTTTCTTTTTTCCCTCTCAACTGAAGAGAGAGAAATAAAAGTTTGGTGTCTGAGTCTATTCATATCCAAGCAAGGGAAATATTAACATTCTATCAGATTTACTTTACTACATAGTTAACAATAAGCGACCTTGGATTTTCATAATGCCGTTTAGGAGGAATATTTGAATATATATAAAATACTAAATATGGTTTAAACTCTGACAGTGTATTTTGAGTTGCAGCTGACAAAGCTGATGTAAATAGTTGCATCTACCAGTATTAAGAACCAAGGAATAGTTATTCTTGGTTGTCCTGTCCACATGAGGTGCAACAAATGTACTACTGTTAGTTATCACCTTATTTTCAGGTTGTGCAATCGCATTTCCTTGTTTGCCAAGAGAGTTTCAGTTTAACAGGACTTGTTTTGTATCGCTAAGCCTGACTTTGTAAAGAAGGCTCTACAAGATGGTTATCTCTACATTTTGCAGATGAAAATTATAATCTGAAAGTGCTTTGCAACTGCATGCAATTACTTTTACATGGTATGTGAGATGGTAAGATGGCAAAATACTACTTCTAGAAGCTGCAATAGGATAATGCAAAAACAAAGAGATTTGCATTTATCATTGAAGGTATTTTAAACTCTAGAAGACTTTTCACAATCTTAGAAAAAGTTGGCACGCACTTATGAAATTTTACTCTGCAAAAGAAAAATCAACAAGTCATTTAAGCATAGAAGTCTCTCTTAGCTAGCACACAAAGGGCAAAACAAAAGAACGGTGACATCGCCACTGAATTAAATGCCTTTGCTCTTAATCCCTGATTTTTTATTTGGATACAGAATATACGCATGATTCAGCTGCGTCCTCTGTAAAAAAGGGATAATGCTGGTTTTTTTTTTCAGAAGGTCTCTCTCTCTCTACCACATTGAAAAATTAAGCCTGTATTAGATAAACAGACGTGCAAACTGAGGCATTCATTAAGGCAAACTCATACATGCTCACAGAAGTTCTCCTTTATCAGCAAGGCTTAAATTCTCCTCTCAGATGCCTCCTCCTTCCACTCTTGCTTTGAGGTTTATCAGCAACCTCGTCCCCAGGTTGTCACCCCACACTCCCCTCCTGTGCTTCAGCTTCAGCAAGCCCCACTGCTGCTCTAGGTTGTTCCTTTTAGATTCTTTCCCCATTTCTTGTGCCTTTTTTTAAGCCTCAAATGCAGAACTATGTGTTGTCACAGAGTGAACTGAATACGCTCGAAGGCAGGCAGTCAGCTGCCCCGCAGGAAATACTTGTAAATGTACATGCGTAGTAGAAAAATGAAGAAAGTCTTATGTACAACATGAAGGACAGTGGCACTAATTAGGTATTATGAACAAAAGTTTTACCTCCAGTTTGGATTTCTTCAAGATCAGAAAAGAAAAACAAACAAACAAAAACACTAAGGAAGGATTATGTCTTCCATATCAAGAGATTATCTAGTGTTTTTTAATTGTATAGCCCACGCACAAAGATGTCACTTCATACATCAAAGGGGCCGACAGAGGAGCTGTTGCTTTATCGCCCCTCGCTGACAGCCTGGGGATCAGGGTGGAAAGAGGGAGGACGGTGACAAATTGCAGAGGAAGCTGCTGGGCTGCAGAGCGCCCAGTTTCTAAGTGAGTTTCACTGAAGTGTCAACAAATCCAAATGCAAACGTGCCACCACAACCCCTCCTTACGGAAACAGATACTCCGAGCGGTGACTCAGGGCCCACAGCGACATAGACTGCTCCAAGTCAGGGCTGCCACTGCTTGGCTTCCAAAGCTCCTTCGCCATTGTCCAGCTCTGAGAAACGCGTCTCAAACACCCAAACATTTTCTACCAAGAAGAGGTGCAGGCTGGCAGGTAGCTCCTCTCGCCCTCTGCTACATGCTCCTCAGAGCGGGTCTTGCATCCGGCAGCACTGAGGTGCTCAGGACTATCACACCCTGCGGTGCTTCAGCGAGGGCCGCCCGCGTGGCTCGAGGCTGAGCTAAATCCCTCTGCAAAGTGACTCGTTTGGCGACAAGTATCAGTTTTGGCGCTCGCGCTCCGGCAGCAGCTCCTGCCCGGCAGCCCCAGCCCAGCGCAGAGCAGGAGCCTCCCGAGGCACCAGCCAGACACCAACCCGTCCTCGCCAAGCAAAGACGGCCAGGGGCCGAGGCGCAAGAAGCAGGCGGCACCCAGCACTTGTGAAAGTGCCACAAAAAGGTGCTGAGGAGCGAGCGCCGCCTTTTAGGGAAAAAAGGGTGGGAGAGGGGAGAGAAAGGTAAAAA